TTCCGCCGCCATCTTGCGCCCAAACCGAGCCTTATTATTTCGCGGCCCCATTCCCTGATGATGTCAGGTCGCATCCGCCATTGTGTTACCAGGTTTCAATACCTTTTTTTGTTCAGCAGAGAGAGGTCTTTGTTTGCTTGAAGGATTCCCAGAGCACGTCCTTTTGGTACTGACGCAAATGCCTCGTTGAGTCGAGGGTAGATTATTCGGAAATTTGCTTAAGAGCTTACAATTTTGAGGGTGATTTGGGCTGGGAGATGCCTACAATGCCTAGGGTGGTGAAGTGATGGATTGTGACATTTGTGACAGTCATTTTAACATGAAAAGGAATTCGATGATGAAGAAATGACTGGCAAACTGAAGTGACAATAGAAAAGGATCGTATTTATGTGAATTGCATGATAGAGAAAATGATTTGAAAGCTAAAGCCTTTACAAAATCGCTTCATAAAGGTACTACTTATACTAGTTTGAAGACCATTAAGTTTACCCAAAATTGTGCAAATAAATATTTGAATTTGAATTTAAATAATCTAGCACAACATATTCCGTGATCCTGGTGATCGACGAAATGACTGTCAATGATTAGAAATTAATTTAAAATTAAAAGCTAGGCTACTTTTCAGCTGGTGCCATTCAAAAGAATGGCTTACAGGCTACAGTCCAATCCTTAACGTTCTTCAAAAAATTTCAGCAAACGGTTCTTTCTAGATCGAAACCTAAATCTGAAACTGTCGTAAACCGTGAAACTTTCCAAAAACTTACCAGCTGTCCTTTTAAGAATTCAAAAGCTCCGATCCGGGAATTTCCAAGACCTATTTTGGAGGCGGTATCTTAAAATATTGCCTATAACGATGACCCTAGAAACTTTTGAACTTATTCCGAGTTGGCGAGTCACGTCAGAAGCTCTCAAAGGAAGCTCTCAAAAGTGATAAAACTCAAAAATCGCCTGTGACTTTCTTGGTTATATTTTGCATAATTTCATATATTATTTAAGTGGTAACTTTCGAGTCGTTTGCATAATCTGACGGGGAATGGCGGACGAATACTAATTTGGGAAGTTTACCGGGAGACTTTATTTTAGAAGTGTGGAGGGCAGGTGGGAAGAGATGGCAGGTGAGATCAGGAGTGTAAAGATACAATGGACAGCAGATGGAATTCTGTAATCTGAGGCCTTTGGAACTACTTAATGACAAGGCTTTATTTATACTGTCATCAAGTTTTTTTTTTAAGTAGTGGACTCTTCCTATTTCTATTACGAGTATAACTAAAAAATGTTATATGATACTAAGGCTCAGTTGCACCACCTAACTTTAACAGTAACTATGACGATAACCGGTGCATTTTGTATGGAGTTTGACAGATTTTTGACGTTTGTTACTCCATACAAAAAACACCGGTTATAACAATAACTATAACAATTAAAACTATTAAAATAATAAACTGTTAAAATAAGGTGCAACTCAGCCTTAAAAATATTTATTGTTCGTTCGTTCTTTTCAGCCAAATGACGTCCACTACTGGACAAAATTATTTTGTCTTTTTCCTATTAAATCATAGTAGCATAAAAATACAATAATACATTATTGCTTTATTGAATGACACTCCATTAAACATATTAATTGCAAAAAAGTTTTCAAATACATTCCAATATTTTAACTACCTACTTACTTTGAATCTATTAGTAGGTACAGAATTTTATGAATAACTTAGAATATTTCTTTTTTAGTTAGTTCTATTTAGTTAGATATTACTTTAATATCTAACTAAATACTTAGCTACTTATTTAAATTTTGGTTTTTAGACTACAATTTCCATTAAAGAACATTATGAGTAAGTCTTCCAAATACACCTAAGGTATTTATTAATAAATACTTAGGTAAATCGCCAAAGAAATATTCTAAGTTATTCATGAATATTTTAATAAGAACTTATAATAAGTTCCAGAGTAAGTCTCTATTGAATTGAAAAATATCTAAGAATACGAAATCAAATTAATATTGACCAGAGCCGGCCGATGGTTTGGTCGGCTTCCAATTTGTATGAAGAATCGGCCGATACCAAATCGGTGTAAAGTGCGCACTTACATGTCCATTGCCCATACTTATTAACAGCCCGACCCAACTTTCGGCCGACTGAGCTTAGGCGCACACCACCGACTTTTAGTTGGCCGATAGTTGGGTCGGGCTGTTGATCAGTATGGAGATGCATGAAACAGCGCACATTACACCGATTTGGTATCGGCCGATTCTTTATACAAATTATAATCGGGCCTAACTATCGGCCGACTAAAAGTCTGACGTCTGCGGGGTGTGAAAGTTATGGCTAAGAAACCAAGCACCTAAATTTTAAATTCCCAATCTGTAAAATCATAAAGCCAGCACATTGTTTCCCCATGAATATTCTATGGCAGTATCTACGTAAGGCAGCGCAAGTTGAGCGCCTGATGTATGCCGCGCCGGTACACACTCGGCGCGACTTCATAACGGGGGTGTACCAGTAACGTGGCATATATTTAGGGCCGTTGTAAAATTCAAATATTGTACTTTTCGTGTTTCGTAATTTAATCAGAAAACTTTGTATTCTTTATGATTTTACTCAATATTTAATCATTATTGTCTATTTAATTTGAGATTACAAGATTAGATCCTCGCGACCTCCAGATAATGTGATAGAGTGACGACTTGCAGAAGCTAGAAATGACAAGCCAAAGACAGGGTAAAGTGGCGGGTATTTAGCAATGAACGACTATAAAAGGCTGATGATGATGCTGAAGCTCTCAATCTGGAGGTTATAAGTTCGAATGCCAAGAAGTTCACATAACAAATTGTAGTCCACTTTGGCTGGGACGTTGCAAGCTTGAAGATATTTAAAGAACTAGTTACACTGTGGCGGTCTCAACCATCCTAAGATGGATCTAAATGCTGGTGCTATGGTGGTGTATCAAGGTTGTCAGAAAATGTACTCCAACCTAAATAACTCGTTGCTGTACTTTAAAATTCAGACCTTGAAAATAACAATAGCATAACGTGGAGTAACCCACAGTAAAAGCTATTGAATTCAATCTATGTGGCCTCAGATGGGTTTATATACCTATACACCACAATAAATAATGTACTCCATTAATTCCGGGCGATTGGGCAAAGTTTAGTGACCCATTATCTGTATCATACTTATTTATTTATGGCAGCAACAAAGTCATTCAGGTCGGTCGATATCGGCGGCCCTCGAAATAGCCAGTTAGTTTTAGATCGACCGAACTAAAAACATCTTAAAAAGACAAAGCCCATCACATATTCACGACCCAAAAACCGCTGTAATGTTTTATTTTAACAGCGAAACCTACATTTAAAATACATTACTATGCCAATAAAAATAAAAGCAAAATCGATACTACCTAGCCTTTTCGCACTTTCGGGCTGATCGTGGACCAAAAAGGGACGGAGCACCCTACTTTATTATGATAATCGGGGTATTTCACCACATTTGTGCGGAGCGACTCTCTACTCGATTTCAGAGACTACGAATAAGTGATGAGCTATGTCATTTGTACATATAGAGGTAATTTATAACGGTAGATAGAACTGATTTCTCGTATTTTGGAGCATAAATTCGCTACCATTGCCGATTTGGCTAAAGTGGTGAAGAATGTTATGGATTGGTTAGCATTTTGTTCAGAGTTGGTTAGGATATTAAAGGCTGGAAAAAAATATGTTTTGGAGCTTCAGAGGGACGTTTGACGTCAGGGATCAAGGGTTACTTACAAGTCAGATTACCGACATAGCTATGACGTGCTATGACCCTCATTGATCATTTCTCAGACAGTACACGAAATATCACCAGTGTACCTACCATGAGTTTACGATAGGTGGTGTGCTCGCTAGCGAGTAGGTACGTCAAAAATCTCTATGAAGATTTTGTTTCTTGAAAGTTAAGAAACGCTACCTCGTAGCCGCTAGGGGCGCTGCACAATATGTCAAACAATTAATGACATTTTTTTACGCAGTCGCTAGCGAGAACACCTAACGTTAACCCATGGTAAGCACACTGATTAATAAATTGGAATCTTCTTATAGAGAAGATGAATGACGCCCGTTTTCACACCATTAATCCCTAATTTTTAAGGTACCCCTATGGTAACACAAACAGGAATATTGGTGTCATAGGGGTCACTTAAAAATTAGGGATTGATGGTGAAAACGGGCGTGAGTTTTTTCCGCCACTTCTTTTCAGCACCAATGTTGTCTCGAAGTGTTGGTAGGGAAATCTATATTTGGGACATGTATAGTATACTTATACTATACTAGGGCACTTGCCCAGGAAAAGGCGTACATACGGTCTTAACTCAGTCGTCAGTACTTGAGGTACCTAAGGGAGCGGCACAGAAGTAAGTTTTTGTGACCTGCCGCTCCCATACTTTAAGAACTGATTCAATAATTATGCAGTAGACTAGACCTATAATGATAAAGATTTTTATTTTGAACTAGCGGCCGCTTGCGACTTCGTACGCGTGGACCCCGTTGTACCCGCTTCGTCGTTTCAGCCGAAAGTCGTCCACTGCTGGACAAAGGCCTCCCCCAATGATTTCCACGAAGACCGATCCTGCGCCGCTCGCATCCAGGCACCTCCCGCGACCTTCACCAGATCGTCGGTCCACCTAGTGGGAGACCTGAACACGTTACGTCTTCCGACTAGTGGTCGCCACTCAAGAACTTTCCTGCCCCAGCGGCCATCAGCTCAACGAGCTATGTGCCCCACCCACTGCCACTTGATTTTAGCGATTCTGTGGGCTATGTCAGTCACTGGTTCTCCTACGTATCTCCTCATTTCTGATTCGATCACTCCGATCGTGGGGAAACTCCGAGCATAGCACACTCCATCGCCCTTTGGGTGACCTTGAGCCTTCTTTTGAGGCCCATAGTAAGCGACCACGTCTCAGCTCCGTATACATCACACATTAATTTGTTTTTACCTTATCTCATCATACATTTTTGTCCACAGCGCGTCGGTTGCGACTTGCGGGTCGGATCGACCCGACGGGTGGACGAGTGCGGCGTCTGCGGTGGAGACGGGTCTACGTGCTCCCGCCCTCGTTACCATTGGTTGGCCACGCCGGGCTCGCTGTGCTCGGCTACCTGCGGTGGAGGTTGGTAAACGATTTTAGTTAGAGCCACAGCCACAGCAAAAATGGTCTTAAATTTTAGCATCGGCAATCGGCGACTTAGCCGCTTATTAGAAGCTGAATGCAGCCACTACACATTATACACCGCGCAAAACACCAAAGCTCCACGCAGCGACAGCAGTTGTTAAAACGCGCAATTCTGATACCGCGTCCGAACGTATGAAGTCGCGAACTCGCGATGCTGCATCGATACAGTCGCAAAATTGCCAGTTGCCGGCGTCTGTGGTGGTGACGGGTCTACGTGCTCCCGCTGTGACGGGTCTACGTGTGCTCGGCTACCTGCGGTGGAGGTTGGTAAAATGCTTAGTTATTTGTTGGAAGTTTTAATAGCCCTAACACCTCACACTAAGAAAGACCTTAGTGCAGCAGACCAAAATAATGGATATAGCAAGCTGTCAGTGAGCTATTCATATCTGCCGCACAATCAATGAAAGGTGATTTAAACGGGTTTGCGAATGATCGGCAAAGAAGGATTACCTTAAAAAGAAGGCAGCAGTGGAATCAGAATGTCTTGTGTGCCAAGCGGACGTTTGACAGACGTCATGTACGATCTCGGCTATATTTTCAAAGACAGATGATGATGATGATGAAGCAGAGATCAGCAACAAAATAACTAAATCTAGCTTCCTAAGCTTCACTTTTTGACAGTGAAAAATAAAAACTCACACGCAAATACGACTTCAGAGCGCATTTAACCTACCGCGCTCCTTATTTTTATTTAACGAATAGGTGTAATAAACTAAGTTCTCAAAACTCCTTCCATCTTTCTTTTTCATTTCATTTAAAAGTATCTTAGCTCCCACGTCTGTCATATAAATATATAGCTCAAAGGTGACTGACTGACTGACATAGTGATCTATCAACGCACAGCCCAAACCACTGGACGGATCGGGCTGAATTTGGCATGCAGGTAGATGTTATGACGTAGGCATCCGCTAACAAAGGATTTTACGAAACTAAGGGGGTAAAACGGGATCCACGCGTACGAAGTCGCGGGCGGCCGCTAGTCTGTATATAAAATCTTATTGAACATAACTAAATACTTACACCCTGGATCTGCGAAATCTTTAAATGGGAAAATTCCGATATCCTCAGTGAAAACCAAGCGATTGCCATTCCGGGAGAAACCAGCAAGCACCGTAATAATGTTATTCTGCTCCGCTAACTCTGCTTTTTCAAGCTTAAATATTTAAAACCCATATCGAGATTTTTCTTGCTGTTTAAAAAGTGCAGTTTGAAATGTTTATGCAGGGTGTAACACTTAGGTATGTTTAATCGTTTGATATTCAAATCAAATCAGTTATTTGCTTAGGGATACGGTACAAGGTCTTTACAACGAACCCGAAATTAGTTTTGTTGAAACAGTGCAATATTATCATTTTGCCCTCTTTTAAAATGTTTTTACCCGACTACGGCAAAGCCAAAGGAGGGTTATGATTTTGACAGGCTATGTATGTATGTATGTATGTATGTATGTTCATCTGCTCCCTCGTAACTTCTAAACTACTTATCAGAATTTGACAAATGATTACATATACCTACCTACCGTAGCACTTTGACAACGTGTGACTGCGGTTTTCCAAACATGAAAATTACTATGCAACTACATTAGCAACTTTGTTCAGTTCAGTATTCTGAAAATCTTGTTTTATACTTTTTTAGCGTCGTTTTTTGTCGTAGTTGGGTTTTAGTTTTTTTACTTTTTATTTATTATTTAAGATGGGTTACTATGGGAAATTGGTGACTTAAAATTTGTATAGTTTCTAATTTAAACACAAAGTGAAAATAATACGTAAGGTAGACGAAAGTTTATAAACTAGTCGTATCTCTGTACGTATTTTAAAGGAAAGCTTTTAAAGCCTGATGTATCAACCACCCTGTATATCTCGCAAGGTTTATATTATTGTTATTGCGCCCCTTCGTGCTGCATTACATTTTCATATTTCGTTTCTTTTATTATAATGAGAGTTTTCGCAAATGTAAGTGGCGTTTTTTCCCCGGTGTGGGGAAATTACCCTAGTAATAATCCGTTACATTTTACTTTCCTCTTTCGTTTGCAAACTTGATATCGCATTTTGAAAACTGGGATTTTATAAAACCATCGAGTTAGTTTTGAATTAAATAGGTAGATTTACTTTTCACAATAATTATTCAGATCCTATAGATTAATCTGATAGAACCTGAGAACCTGCTTTTTTTAGGTCTACGAGAAATACGCAAGGAATTTTCAAACTTCAACCCTTAAGGGGGTGAATGGGATTAAAAGGTTGTATGAAGGTCACTATACGAACCTGAAGAATTATTGTGAAAGGTAGATTTACTTAGACCTATTCACTTGATTGCAAAAACAAAAGGCAATCCACAAAAGGCTAGAAAAAGAACAGTTATTTCTCCTCAAGTTATTTTGGGAATCCAACTGACAAGCAAAGATACTCAACCATTTCTGAACGCATTCAAATAAACCATTTGCTTCCATTTATACTTGTTTTCAAAAGCTTTTGTTTCGGCAGCCTTTCATCATCAAAATAGACTCGCATCAATGGATCAGCGTCTCAATCCGCCCTACAGGGCAGCAAAACAAATTACTCCAACGCCTCAAGTGCTAATTCTTATCGGGGAATTCATCTTTCAGGGGTTCTTAATTAGAATTGGGCCTCGCAAATTTAGCCGGCGGACGGGTGGGCAGACGAGCGATTGTAAACGAAGAATTTCTGAAATAGTTGCCAAATTCTGGGGCAACAATGGCCCAACGGTGTCAGTCTTGAATTTGAACTTCGAAGGTCGTTAGTTTTTACCCTAATGTCTAATCGAATAATGAAAAAATAATCGCAGTGTCATTCCAACTGAGTAGAACAGGACCACTCCTAGTCTTCTCATGGATGTCATAAAAGTGGATTAAGAAACAAGTATGCGAACCTCAGATTCAGTACTCGCCAACCCGCCTGGCTAGTGGTTCGTTTCGTTTCAGCCAAATGACGTCCACTGCTGGACAAAGGCCTCCCCTAAGGTTTTCCACAATGAACGGTCCTGCGCTGCACGCATCCAGGCTCTTCCCGCGACCTTTACCAGATCGTCGGTCCACCTAGTAGGAGGCCTGCCCACGCTACGTCTTCCAGCCCGTGGTCGCCACTCGAGAAATTTCCTGCCCCAACGGCCATCGTCTCTACGAGCTATGTCGGTTACTTTGGTTCTCCTGCGGATCTCGGGCTAGTGGTAGCTCTAGTAAATTAGCGAGGGCCCTGCTCCTTCAGTGGACACTTATGACCTGGTGATTGAATTGCCAGAAGCAAATGGAGGATCTTGGCTACACTTCCCACGCTGGTCATCAATCCATGGTAGAATTTATTGGACTGGGTATCGGAGCTTACCCATTTTTCAAACAGTAGACTTCAGATGTAGATCCTGGCTACACAAGAGTTGCAGCGGTAGGAACGAGAGGTGGGAATAGTCCCGTTTAAATTGACTTTTCCAAGTGAAAATCATATTGTTGTCCTAGTTCAGTAGCTCGTCTACACCGCCCCCTTGAGAAACTGTTGCTTGGCGCCTAGTCGGAGACAAAAGGAATTCCCGTGATTTATCGGACGCTTCGACTAATGTCGGATTTCTAGATATAAATTACGAGGCCCGGCAATTAACAATGTTGCTGTAATGTATTGGACCGGGCGCGGCGGGCTGCTGTTAATCACTATTGTGAATTAAAAACAAATGGTAGTTAATGCTTTGTTAGGGCAGTGGTGACATTTTGCGCTGGTGAAAGACTTAAGCCAGAAATTGCACAATGTTAAGAAAATATTCAGGTATGTTAACACATCTCTTAGCGTTGGCTAAGTTATTTATATTTTTGTTATCTATGCTTCCACCTTCAGTCTGATCATCATCTTCCATTAGTTGAGATGCAGCCCAAATAATGTCCAGCTGTGGACGTCATTTGGCTGAAACGTACAAACACTGCAGCGTAAAGGATAATCTTCGTATTTTTAATACAGAACTTGAAGCTTTAATTCCCATTTTTGCCTAGGCACGGTAATAAAGACCGTTAGTACCCTCATCCATCAGTAAAAACAGCAACAATGATTCTGGCGGCGTGTAATCCTGACAGCCGGGTGTGACAGCTCCAATTTATCAATGGGCCCCGACACTGAATTAACAATTGGATTATATAAAGTCCAGCTCACACTGGTGCTGTAAATTGTAGTTCTTTCAGTCCTATCAATTGGATACGTAGTTTTGTTATAGCGGAGAAAAAGTTGACGAAAGATTAAACACGTAGCAGTGAGTAATGAGCCGAAATTATTTTGTAAGACTGATGCAAACTTCTAGAAGTTCTCACTTCTTCTATCATAGGTATGACCACAGTTTACCGATGGTAACAAACTGACGCGTAGTGTAGGACGTTCTCTAGCTAAGTGATGACTTGCAAAGGGCAGAATGTGGATGCGATCAACCTAAGTTAGGCCTCTCTCAACACGCGCCATTTCTATCTATGTTAATAAAATTAAATAGACTGATAATGGTTTATGAGGAATTAATCAATATCTTCATGATACTAAAGATTCATGACAAAACAGATTGTCAGAGAAAACTCTATGGTACAAAAACGTAGCCGTTAAAAGTACAAACTGACCTGCTACATTCGTTCGTTCAGCCAAACGACATCTACTGCTGGACAAAGGCCTCCCACAAGGTTTTCTACAATGCACGGTCCTACGCTGCCCGCATCCAGGCTCTTCCCGCTACATTATTCCTCACCCTGCTACATTATTCTGACTTTCTGACCAAATTCGTTTCTGGGTTTAAAACAGCTATCCCTGGGATAGCTGATTTAAAACAGCTATCCCTGGGACTATCTACTCTTTAGTAGTTTCATTTCATTAACAGCTAAGCTGTTGATAGACTACAGTAGTTGCACTGATGGGAAAAGGGATTAATGCCATGAATGCTTTATTCCACAAAAGCTTTCTATCAGTGTGTATCATCCCTAACCCTGTGAATGGCGGGTCTCCCAGACCCCATCTAAGGGTAGGGTTAGCGTTTGCGGACGCTAACAATGGATATTTGACCCAACCAATCGGATTCTAAGCGTTCACAATTAACCCTATAATACTGTGGATTAGGTATGATGATAGTGGTTGGCAATTGAATTGAATAGTACGGCGACCTCAATCCTTTATATGGAAAAGAGCCTATATCTTATTTTAATGTCTCGTATTCGTATGACAGCTCTTTTCCATAAAAACATAAAGATACATGTCAAGAACATGTTAATGTGTTAGGCTGAGTTGCACCACTTTAACAGTAACTATTACAATTACTGGTGATTTTTGTAAAGAGTTGACAGATTTTTGACTGTGATGGTGTAACTCAGCCTTAGTAATAGACTTTTCATGGCTAGTTATGCTCTTTTCTTTGTACCAACTGGCTACAGTGACATCTGTCCATTTATACTTTACAGAAGAAAACAATAGGTCTATTTTATCCCCTACCTCTACTACTTAGCGACCGGCCACGGCTTCGCACGGGTGATGAGTATACATAAACCTTCCTCTTGAATCACTCATCTATTAAAAAAAAAACGCGTCAAAATCCGATGCACAATTTTAAAGATCTGAGCATACATAGGGACAAACAGCGGTCATTAATTACATAGATTACTTAAATAACAAAAACATTTTATTCTGCAATTAATTCTATAAACACAAACGAAATCTGATCCAACTGCTCGGTCAGGAAACTATTGAGTGACTCTAGTTTTGAGTGGTTTGAGTGAGTGAGCTGAAACGAGGCATGCGACCGCCGAACGCCGCATTTGACCCCGACACACTCACGGCTCATTTGATACGCACACGAGTGAGATAGGGTTAAAATGGGATAACTAGTTCTAACCGCTATTAGCAATTTGAGCAGTTATCGTATCATTATAATGGTTTATAATACACTAAAGCCCATTTTGTTGAACTGTGGTCAAAATAAGCAATTGTCAAATGTTACCAATGGATAAATGTAAATAAAATGTAAAATAAAACTAAAAGACAAGCTAATAATCGTTCGAAAAACATATTCTGCTTTGTCTTGCACTTTACATTGTAATAGTTGGTTATTTGACGACTACGGATCAAAAAACTACACCTAAAGATCGCCTGATGATTCGCTTACCAAAACCAAAGCTAGCAGCGGTTGCGGGGTCAAATCCCACTAAGGGCAAGTTTAAGTGTGATGAGCAGCTGCCAAAGTACGAACCACCACAGTGAAAGATAAACCAAACACTATGACATCATACATATAGTGGTAAACGGGTACTAAGTATTTTACAACAAATATATGAGGTTTGGTGGGCTGTTCAATGTAAAAGACGCTCTATTTTCTTTAATGATTGAAATAACTAAAAATTGAGAATTAACTAATAAGTATGAAGACAGTTTTAAGCTTCACAGTTCATAATAGTCTTAATTATGTACTAATTATTTCAAAAATGAACAATATGTAAGAGTAAGTAGTTAGTTGTTTCTATGACGGACAAAATTCAAGCAAACGCAAGTCAGTTTAGTACATATATGACGAACTATTAAGCCATAAGCTGCAGCCATTCTTCAAGGGGCCATAATAGCTCTATCAATATTATAATGCTTAAAACCAAATAAACTTCAATTAATTTGTAAACCAAATCCGCTATTTCGCGGTACACGCACAAAAACCCAAAGTTCGGAGTTCAACGCCAGCCGGGCGAAATAGGGTCGCTTAGCATATTTATGTATTTATTTATTCAAAGGGAACCATCTCGCTGGTGTTTAATCGGTGATTAGGTAAACTAATATACCTCAAAAGCCTATAAAGGAAACGTTGAAGCTGGGAAAAATAGAAGTTTTTTCCGAGCATTGAAAAATCTGATTAATTGCAATTTGCGTAAGTACTTAGGTAAAGATCATGTTTACACAATGTTTTATCACGTGGGAGTTTTTATCCATAACGAGGAAGCTCTTGGCCTGCATCTCACCTGATGAAAAGTAGTCGGCCGAAGGTGGAAGCGACCTTCACCCAGAATCCTTAATCATAGAGGAACTGCCTATCTTACCTTCAACTGACGGAAACACCAATGCTGACATCATTGTTATAGTGACAGACTTACCTTTTTTTCATGCAGGCTTTTTTTTCATGTAGCTTCCTCGTTGTGGGTAATTTATAAAATGTATTAAAATCTGCTCTGAAACACAATATCAACACGTTTAGCCTAGGCGCAGACCACCGATTTTTAGTTGGCCGATAATTGGGCCCGAATCTAATTTGTACGAAGAATCGGCCGTAATGTGCGCACTTCCATACATGCCCATACTGATTAACTGCCCGACTAAACTATCGGCCGATGAAAAATCGGTGGTCTGCGCCTAGGCTTAAAAATCACGGCCAAGAGAACTAACTTTTGTGACATCCACTTAATACAATGTCTAAATATACCTACAGATGTCATGAACCTATTTACAATTCTCAAAAACCGATCGTACCCATTCTCAGAACACAAGAACAAAAGTACACTCGGTCAAATCTGTAGAAGTGAGACAAAATGCCCACTCCTCGCCCCTCGAGGGCCGACTGCGACGTTTATTGGAGACTATTTATAGCTGTTGACTGTCCAAAAGCCTTAGAATGGCAACTCGAACACTGGATTTAGGGTGAATGGTCGTACAACACCTATTTTTAAAGATTTGGAGCTTAAAAAGCGTGAGATTGGAGCGCTGAAGTGATTTTCAATGGTTTCTGGAATTAATTTGGATTTGAGTTGTGAAAACTAACGTACAAAACTTTTAATCTAATGAAATGATACTTTTATAGAAAGTATTATTATTTCAAACACTAACAAAAATCAAATAAAATAAATAATCGTGGAGGCATATAGAAAAAAATTTGGGCCACACCTGCCTGACAATGATGAATTTATTGATGAAAACTGTAACTTCCATGCAAATACGAAACGAACTCATTACATACGATAATAAGTCTCTAGACGTGGGTCTAGAACGACTTGTGCTTACATTAGATAAGTATTAATACTACTTGGATCAAAACATAAACATTTAGGATGCAAAATTTAACCCAAACCAGTCTAACACAGAGTTTGTTTCAGGCTACAAGATGTCGCTAGCAGTGTGCCGCGACCGGCTGACCGGGTCGGATGCGCCGACGCAACTCTGCGACGCGTCGAGCAAGCCGCAGGCGTCGGTCGTCAGGTGTAACACGCACCCTTGTCCTTACAAGTGAGTATATTGTAACACAGACTACAAACAAAAGGATAATGGGCAAATTTCTATAGAATCTGGTTTAAGACAGAAATGTAATGCCTTAATTATTTTATTTGGACTTGGTACCAAACGCTCCCGAGTTTGTTTGAAAGTGCGTCAGAAAAACCATCATGTTTTGCCACGGTCCTATAATTTTCGTGACCCACAAAATACTTAAAAATCCGCGAGACTATGCAACAGTAGGTCCCAAAAGATAAGGAAAAATGTGAGCCCTATAAACGGCTACATTTTTGACGTTTATCAAATCATGGTGGCCATGCCATCAGTGTTCACTATTTGAGTTTCTATTGCATTCAAGCTCCAGATCTTGACTATTTTGATGTTGCAGAAGGATTCCGTTATAGTCTTCAAAAATACGAAAGTTTTCTTAACTAGTGGAACTCGAGACCACATGAGACCCGGTAACAATATTTTATTCATATTGTGTCTATGTAGTTTCGTTGGTACTGAAAGGGTTAATTTCACATTTCATTCTTTCCATCAGGTGGTACGTCGGCGAGTGGTCATCGTGCAGCGTGTCGTGCGGCGGCGGCGAGCGCACGCGCCGCGTGCTATGCGCGCGCTCTGCTAACGTCACGCGGGCCGACACTTACGAGCCTGGTAAGAACTTTAGTCATCATCATCATCATCATATCAGCCATAGGACGTCCACTGCTAAACACAGGCCTCCCCCATAGAGATATAAAGAGATGCCAACTAAGTAATGCGTTGTGTTCGCAACTCAGTGTCGCATTAGAAATTCACACACACAACGTAATCAAAATTATTGTGTTCATTATCCACTGTAGTATCAGTACTCAACGTTCGAAAGATCTTTAGTACCTACTACGCAAGCAATGTAAACTGTTTACATTATGACGTCAGTGCTGTCATCATTGCTGTCACGAGCAATGTGTTCTGTTTTTGAGCATATTGCTGCGACACCGGCCCCGCCCCCTAGGCACATCTCCCTTTGGTTTCTGTGATCTGTGGCCTCCCCCAATGATTTCCAGTTAGCTAAGTTAATTAAAAGTTGCTCACATAACCCGAAAGAGCAAGCAGAAGTGGCAATAGACAGGGTACAAAGCAGGCAGAATTGAAGACCGATGGGGCAGCAAAGTTCTGGAATGGAGGCCACGTACCGGTAAGAACAGCGTAGGACGTCCAATAAGTTGCACAGACGACCTTGCGCCAGAAGCAGACCGCTACCAAGAGTTTATTAGTTCGTTCGTTTCAGCCAAATGACGTCCACTGCTGGACAAAGGCCTCCCCCAAGGTTTTCCACAATGAATGNTTACCCTACAATAATAAATGTCTGCGCGCTGGTCTAGAACAATTTGTACTTTCATTAGGCAGGTACTACAAGGATTTAGGATGCAATAACCGAAATTAAACCCAAACCAGTCTAACACAGAGTTTGTTTCAGGCTACAAGATGTCGCTAGCAGTGTGTCGCGACCGGCTGACCGGGTCCGATGCGCCGACGCAACTCTGCGACGCGTCCAGCAAGCCGCAGGCGTCGGTCGTCAGGTGTAACACGCACCCTTGTCCTTACAAGTGAGTATTTGCGATACAAGATGGATGCAAAAGCAATATTATGTACCCCTAAAAAAATCTGCAACAACTTTAATTTTGTATCGTCAAAGACTGAAGTCTGACCAAGAGAAGATCAAAACAAAAGATGACCGTGAAATGACTGAAATAAACATGTCGTCTAATGTCTGCTAGAAAACGTGCTTTTACAAAAAAAAGCTTCTTCCAAATCGGTTCACCTGTTTAAGAGCAGCAAACACATAGCATTCCAACTAACACACGTAGAAGATTTGATAGTGACAAGGCTAATAAAATGGATTTTCCCATTTTTATTTTAAATGGGAAAATTTTGGGATTCGACCAAATAAGAGTACCTAAATATTAATCTCAGAATAAATCGTCAGTTTTGACATTTTTCCCATACTGAAACTGTCAACGTGCCAGTTATACCAGGAGATATTCTCGGATAAAATTTTGGTAGAATCGGGCCTAAGAAAGTCATACTATCCCCGAAACTACTCAACCTTCACTGCATAATTTTTTATTACAGTCAATCCTGAAATTCAGATACAGATGCATTCCCTAAGCTGAATTTAAGCCTAAAGAAAATATTAAAACCTCATAAGACCTTAACATGTAATTATCATTTATTTTTATCAGATGGTACGTCGGCGAGTGGTCATCGTGCAGCGTGTCGTGCGGCGGCGGCGAGCGCACGCGCCGCGTGCTATGCGCGCGCTCTGCTAACGTCACGCGGGCCGACACTTACGAGCCTGGTAAGAACTTGTAAATAGATCCTTAGATTATGATACCAACAAGCGATGACTGGAAAAGAGGACACATGTTGGACAAAAGTCCCTAAATAAAAACAGATTTAAAAAAAGCTGAAGTCGGTTAAAAAGAGGATTAAGATCCTAACAAGACAACCTAATCTGGTTTACTGACGGCTCTAAGATGGACTCTGGAACGAGAGCGGGCGTCTATTCTAAACAATTCGAGCAAAGTGAAAGCTTTGGGAGGTTTGCAACAGTATTTCAAGCTGAAAACTTGCTATAATCATGTGTACACTAAACAATATAGAACAGGCGTACTAAAAGCGCAATATTTACATACTGAGTGTCATCCAGGCAGCACTCAAAGCCATCGCTTTAGTGAGAGACTTTACATATAAACCACCATACTAATAAAAACAGATTTACTAATAAAAAGATATAATTGTTCGTGTATTATCGCAGAAGATCCCTATGGTGTATAAGAAATTATGAATAGCGGTGTAATTTTTTGTTATCGTATTCTGTGAGATCGACCAATGTGTAAAGGATGCTTGCAACTAACTTTCCCATTTGTCAGTTTACTGTAAACCAACCTTGAAACGCTGTGTCAACTTGCAAAAACGTCACTCTAGTTAACTAATAGCTTAAAAGGTAAAGTTGTCCGAGGTAATCCAATAGAATCCGCTTTCATAGCAACCAAACGGACACCAATCGAGTTAACCTCTAGCATTTTGTTGGCAACGCGACTCCAGTTACGTCATAGTAACCTTGTAAAACGCCTAAGTGTAAAGTAAAACCAATTAACTCTTTAGAGTGATAGGGTTAATTTTGCACTACTATTCAGCGTTTGGAAACTCGATGCTGCTATCAAATGCCATACTCTATGAGCTGCTTAACATCGTTTTTGGCTGATTTAAACAAGTCAATTCCTATCAGAATCAAATGTTTTTGACCAGCAACTTATTAAATTCGAGCCTGAATTTCTCTAAGCCTAGGCGCATACCAGCGACATTTAGTTGGCCGATAGTTGGGTCGGGCTGTTGATCAGTATGGAGATGTATGAAAGTGCGCACATTACACCGATTTGGTATCGGCCGCTTCTTCATACAAATTAGAATCGGGACCAACTATGGGCCAACTAATAGTCGGTGGTCTGCGCCTAGACTAAACAAACTGGTGACAATTACAAAAAATAATCATCAATTTATCATTTTTTGAATTTTCAATATGTTTGAGGTCCCAGTCCTACGCCTTAAATTAAAGCTGGATGCGCGCCGTGATAGTCTTTTATTGCGCCATTTTATCGATTTCAAGCGTTAAGCCCATACGTTTGTCGTCTAAAAATCTTCGATATTATTTTATCTCGACCTATCCTAGCCCGACTGGTGGCCATATTCCAAGCTATTTATTATCTACAGCCTAGCTTATAGCAAAAATTTTTGATGACTACTAAAACAAGTTACTAATAAATCCATCTATCCCACAGGATCAAGCTCAGAGCCAGGCTGCGTGTCTCCAGCCCCCAGGTCCACCCAGCCGTGCAACCAGCACGACTGTCCCACCTGGGTGGCCGGACCTTGGTCTGGGGTAAGTACCTATTATCATCATCATCATCATCATTTCAGCCATAGGACGTCCATTGCTGAACATAGGCCTCCCCCAATGCTTTCCATGTTGATCGATTGGTAGCGGCCTGCGTTTCACCTATTATCATCATCATCGGGTTTTGAGGCGACAAATTTATAGCCCAAAGGTGTCGGACTGACTGACTCGCGAACTGAGGAACGCTATTTCGCATTTTATTTAGCTAATAGCGGCTGCCCGCGACTTCGTACGCGTGGATCCCGTTTTACCCCCTTAGGGGTGGAGTTTCAAAAAATCCTTTCTTAGCGGATGCCTACGTCATAACATTTACCTGTATGCCAAATTTCAGCCCGATCCGTCCAGTGGTTTGGGTAGTGCGTTGATAGATCACTATGTCAGTCAGTCAGTCACCTTTGAGTTATATAATTTTAGATAACGTGGGGTTAGCGGGAATAATAATGAAACAATCGTATTACAAATTTTGACTAAAGTATAGAATTTGTTTAGGAATTGTAGAGTACGGGCTTATTCCCCCGGAGACATCCCGTTTTTTTAGAGTCCCGTTTAGTACCTTGTATACGTGTTTATTCACTCGAACTATCCCGTTTACAGTGTCCTACAAAAAACCGATCCGTTCGAATTTGTAATTCGAATTTTGAACACACATTTATTTTCTGATCACACGACAGTCCAGTTTTACGGGATCCTGCATAACTGAAAGTACTGAAACTCTTAAAACTGGATTGCCTTGGGAGTAATGTTAGCTGGACTTCATGAGATCTGATAACTTTTTCACAAATCTAGCCATTACGGTCTCATTCTTGGAAACATCTTCATGAAAATATTTTTGGTGGGATAGTTTATTCTGCAAACAACAGCTAACTAAATAATGTATTATTACACCAACAACGCCACACAACTATTACCACAAGACATCTGACACAACAGATTACAAGAAAACTTTAACATTAAATCCGTCTTTCATACAAGTTTTGCCATCGATTCTCAAACCCTATATTAGTTTTTATTAATAAATTAAAAACCAAATTAACAAAAATCTACTCTAGAATCTTGAAGTTGCTGGAAGAAAAAATATTTAAAAATTCAATGCAGTGACTTGGCCCAAGGACCAAGATAAAAGTGGGCCAAGTCACTGGAAGATTCTCTTCAGTTATTAGAACCCAAACAATCTCAAAGTTTGTGGCGTTTCAAAATTCATAAATTAAACTCGTTTTTCTCCTCTTCAACGGGAAAGTGACATTACTTTCCAGTAATTTTATTGTTTAGTACTTATCGAACTAAATCGAATCCGTATAATAACAATTACGTATGCAGTCCGCGCAATGGCGCCGCATTGCGAGGAACATCGTGATTTACAATGATGACCACGACCACTGACAAAAGTGTACCGACTGAGAAGAAGAATGTATGGGCAAAAGATACAAGAGTTAACTAATCATTTGAAAAGTAGAAGCAGTAAAAATTCAAAGACATGACTTTGCAGTTTTATAACCACTGGGCTTTTTACACCAGAAAGTTTGAGAACCACCAGTTCGAAAGATACACACAGACCGACGCGCCGCAGCAACTACTAACAAGCTGCACGATGACACCGGCTGAACTGAAAAACACCAAACTTCGCTAATTGGAACGTTTTTCGCCCAACTTCGTTTAGTTCGCGTACAGTTTTCTAATTAANTAAAAGTAGACATGTATCAATATACACGAAAAAAAACTCAAAATTGGTTCACAAAGCCTTACTTGTATCATGTGGCACAAAATTATTTTCTTTTCTATACGTCGTAGAAACATACCGATTAGATACAAAAATAGCTAATTTTTCAGAGATTCACATTATGTTATAAAGTCAATTTTGATCTAAGTCGAGTTAGATCCCTTTTCACTGGGGGTACAGAGGTCCTGCGCTGCCCGCATCAAGGCTCTTCCCGCGACCTTTACCAGATCGTCGGTCCACCTAGTAGGAGGCCTGCCCACGCTACGTCTTCCAGCCCGTGGTCGCCACTCGAGAACTTATTAGTAAATAAATAAATCTCTTAGCAAACATATCATATTCTATGAGACCGCCACCTGACATGAGGTAGATGCTTGCAACTAACTTTCCCATTTGTCAGTTTACTGTAAACCAACCTTGGAACGCAGCGTTAACTTGCAGAAACGTCACTCTAGTTAACTTATAGTTTAAAGGGTAAAGTTGTCCGAGGTAATCCAATTGAGTCCGCTTTTATAGCAACCAAACGGACACCAATCGAGTTAACCTCTAGCATTTTGTTGGCAACGCGACTCCAGTTACGTCATAGTAACCTTGTAAAACGCCTAAGTGTAAAGTAAAACCAATTAACTCTTTAGAGCGATAGGGTTAATATAGCGCCAACATTCAGCTGTTTGGAAACTCGATGCTGCTATCAAATGCCAGAATCCATGAGTTGCTCAACATTGGTTTTGGCCGATTTGTACCGAGTCAGTTCCGATCAGAACCGAATAATTCACAAGAAATTAATTAATTTGAGCCTGCAATTCTCAAAACAAACTGGTGACTAGACAATTACAAAAAATTATCATCAATCTGATCGTCACTTACCATCAGTGAGATACAGGCCAAGAGCTTCCTCGTTGTTGATTAAAAAATAAAAAATAAAAATTACTTTTTGTATTTTCAATCGTTTTGAGTTTCCGCTATAATTTGTTCCCTTCTTTCCATTTAAAGTTTAAACTTATAACGTAGGCCTTGGATGCGCCCCATGATAATCTTTTATTGCGCCATTTTATCGATTTCAAACGATAAGCCCATACGTTTGTCGTCTAAAAATCTTCTAAAAAATTTTATCTCGACGTTCACTCCACCCTAGCCCGACTGGTGGCCATATTCCAAGCTATTTATTATCTACAGCCTAGCTTATAGCAAAATATTTTTGATGACTACTGAAACAATTAATTAATTAATCCATCTGTCCTACAGGATCAAGCTCAGAGCCAGGCTGCGTGTCACCAGCCCCCAGGTCCACCCAGCCGTGCAACCAGCACGACTGCCCCACCTGGGTGGCCGGGCCTTGGTCTGGGGTAAGTATCATCATCATCATCAAGTCTCCACTGCAGGAAATCGATCCTTCATTTTACCAGAGGCAAATGGAGGATTTGGCCAACCCTCCCAACGTTTACCAGGGGATATTGTTCCTAGATCTCATTATTGTCATCATCATCATCAAGTCTTCACTGCAGGAAATCGATCCTTCATTTTACCAGAGGCAAATGGAGGATTTGGCCAACACTCCCAACGTTTACCAGGGGATATTGTTCCTAGATCTCATTATTGTCATCATCATCATCAAGTCTCCACTGCAGGAAATCGATCCTTCATTTTACCAGAGGCAAATGGAGGATTTGGCCTACACTCCCTATGTTGACCAGGGCATATTGTTTCTAGATCTCATTATCATCATCATCATCATCAAGTGTCTCCACTGCAGGAGCTTGATTCTTCACTTTACCAGAGGCAAATGGAAGATGTAGCCAACACCATTTTGACCAGGTTGACCAGGGCATATTGTTCCTAGATCTCATTATTATCATCATCATCAAGTCATTACACTCCTCACGCTGGTCAAGCTAGACTCTACTTCAGAAGCAGCCGTAACAAACATTTTGATTGATTGCTTCTGATAGATTGATTTGTGTAGAATTTATTTAGTCAGAGCCTGGCTTAACATGAGATCTGATAACTTTTTGACAAATCTACCATTACGATCTCATCTTGGCAACATTTCACATCAAAATGTTTTTGGTGGGATCTTTCTGCAAACAACAGTTAATAACTATGTAATTTATTATTAAACCAACAACGCCACACAACTATTACCACAAGACATCTGACACAACAGATTACAAGAAAACTTTAACATTAAATCCGTCTTTCATACAAGTTTTGTCATCGGTTCTCAACCTAAATTTTTTACTCCCCCCTGTAAGATCTGATTTTAAAAGTTTACAAATAAAACTTTAAAAAATTTAAACAAAGACATTGCTGGAAAAAAAGTGTTTACTGAGTGAAGGATCGCTCCGCACAGCCGATCTGTATGAACTGCTAGGGAGCGGAGCGGTTCCTCCGGACCGCATTACTCTAAAACGCTCCCTAGAAGTTCATACAGATTGGCCGTGCGGAGCGGGTCCGCACCGGACGGTCCGCGTGACACTAAAACCAGCCTAAAATGAATGTTAATCTCGGATTTTAATATTTATATTTTAGTTATACTGAGTTTCTTCCACCAAGCTATGTTTGGGACGTGTAATAAGCGCCCTGGAAAGGGCCTAAGTACTCAATAAAAGCTTTGAGTTTCATATCAAACTAAAGCCCGGTCTACGAGCACGTAGAATTTCGTCCAATGACCCTAAGCTACCCATCCTTATCGCTCGCGCGTAATTCTAATGCTGTCGCGACTGTGCGACGGGTGCCCGCAGTGAGTGTGCGAGCGCGACAGCAACATAATTATGTTGCTGTCGCGCTAATTACGCTAATTATTCGCGTAACTACGCGCGAGCGATAAGGATGGGTAGCTTGGGATCATTGGACAAAATTCTACGTGCTCGCAGACCGGGCTTTAGTAAATCCTTCCTTTCACCAGGAAGACGACAAGTAATCTTCCAAGTAATTTTAATTTACACTCAACTAAATTAAACTAAATTTAATTAACATCGTATGCATTTAAGTGTTAGATAAACATAAAAGAAGCAAGAGCCCACACTGATCCTTTGAAAAATATGAGATGTGATTTCGCAGTTTTAAAACCCGCTGGGGTTTTTATATCAGAAAGTTTGAGAACCACCAGTTCGAAAGATACACACAGACCGACGCGCCGCAGCAACTACTAACAAGCTGCACGATGACACCGGCTGAACTGAAAAACACCAAACTTCGCTAATTGGAACGTTTTTCGCCCAACTTCGTTTAGTTCGCGTACAGTTTTCTAATTAAGAGTTTGGGAACCGATATTTTTATTGAAATATTACACGAATTATGGAAGTTTTTGAGTTTGTTAATAGTGTCATTTCGGTCGAAATTAAGCTTGTTAAAAATATTAAAATGGCTGTAATAATCTGAGGGCACAGCAGTGTGGGAGCCAAGATGAGCAGAGCGCAGCACTAGTTATTATATACTACTAGAACATATTATTTAAAAAGTAATGAACAAATTTTTCTACCTTACGATGTTGTTGTGACAATAACGGTACGACTGTGTCACATAATGTGTAATTTAACTAAGGTGTAGAGTTTGTTTAATTTCGGCTTGTAGAGTTCAGGGGTGTACAGTAACACCCGTATTCACAAACATTACTATGAGGTCTCACAGTGCGCGTGGTCGCACAGGGTGACACACGAACCAATCACAGAGCTCTATTCAACGTGGTGCGTTCAATTTGCTGCTTCACTTCAGCAAGCATCGTTTGAATACAGACGTATCATAAGAAGACGGCCAGCATTAGCTGAAAAGTAGAATTTCAGTTTTTCCTTTAAAGAAAACAAAGAAAAGTCTAGTTTAAAAGGTATTTTTCCTCACCTAAATATATTCAAAATAACATTCCCAAACATTCTAAAACCGCACACAAAGTGGTCTACGTACAACAGCATCAGAATAAAGCCAAATATCTGTAGAAAAATCGCTCGTATTACAACAAAATAAGACGCTGTTTATCTTGAAGTTCTTTTCAGTACCTGGTTCTCAACAATGTCAGACTGAATACTTTCATACACTTTAAAGTTTACGCCTCGATATGTTTTCGTACTCGAGTCTTCTAGTAGTGATCGCACGTACTCTTTCAATTTGTGCTAACTGGATACTGTGAAAATAGTTATTGTTTAGTTTTCTCTGGAGTTCAAATTCGGGGAATTTTGTTTAAGAAGAGCACAGACAACCGTATTTTGTTAGTAATGTGCCTGAAGAGGGAATTTGTTGTATTTACTAAGGGATAGACAAACTAGTGCGTGTAACGACGCTACTAACTACTACTAACATCTATAATATGATTCTGATTCTCTTTGATAAACTATTCTATGATTGACAATTTTATCCTTTTTAAAAAAAGATTATTAGTAGTTTGTATGGGAAAATCCTACTATAGTCCAACGATTCTGAATCGTTATGCGACAAAAAACAGTGTTGTCAGTGTTGTCCAACTACCTATGTATAATATTTTGGTTAACCCCTCGCAGTAAGCTTTGTCCAAATTGTACAAGTATGTTTGTAGAATAAATTATTATTGACGGGATTACTACGATGTACCTACCTTAATTTCGGCACTGTTGCAAGCACCATGATCACGGAGTAACTGAGTACAGTAACAGTGCCGAAATAAAGGTACATGGTAGCAATCCCATCAATAATAATTATTCTGTTAGTAACAATGAAAGTTTAAAACAATACAAGTATGCTTGTGTTACGAGTGGAATCATCACAATAATCCAGCTGCGTCGGAGTTTGAACCAGCGTTTCTTGGATCTTTTTTTTTTATGCATAACAAGGCAGGTATTTGACCACAATCGCACCTGATGTTAAGTGGGATGCAGTCTAGGATGGTAGGATGATCTCCAGTCGGCCAGTGTGACACCTTCACCACTGGACTATTGTTGCTTCAATCTAACATTGAGCCACAGTCATTGTTAGCTAATTTGAATAGTTGCTGAAACAATTTGCGATTGTGCAAACAAAAGTAATGTCAAGTTGTCTAAAAACCCGTACATACTCAATATTGAGCCACCTCTACCAAAGCTCTCAGCAGCAGTCTCCGCTCAGTGCAGAGATGAAACATTTAAAAATTCCCTATTCTAAATGCAAAAAGCTTTCCAAGGATATAAGTGTATTAAAAGAACGCTCAATCTCACCGGTGCCAACTATAAAGGAACAGGGTAAAACTTCCAGTGGCGATCCATTCATTAGGGCTTGCAGACGTTGGAGTAGTTAAGTGTGACGATGGCTAATGGGGAAGGTTCTGTATGTAATTAAATATCTAGCTTAGGACGAGGGGCTAACGGGACTATTAGTTATTTGTGCAATAATTACTAATAATATTTAAAAAAATACTCATAGAATAATAAAAAATGTGAAATTTTTTATAAGTCGTTCATTGTTAAAAAATGTGTTAACTAAGTTTTATTCAATCGGATGAATTTAGTTTTTAGTGACGTGATTATTTTTTGCAAAACGTCTTTTAAAAAGCGCCATTACACGTCCCAGATAGACTATAATATAAAGAAGCATAAAGTTGGTTATAAATTATTAACTAAATGTGTACTTAATTTTCAAGAAAACCATTATCTTTTAATAAAAATTCTTGCGTATCTTTTTGTTTTGTTCCATTTTTTTTTTGCAACAAGCAATCTTCTAGATAAATTTCAGTCGATTTTCAATTAAATTGTTATGAGCGAAATGAATTGTTATTCAACTTAAATGGACACTCGTAATAAATTAATATGGCAATATTAAAATCAAAATCAAAAAATCAAAATCAAATTATTTATTTCCCCACCGACCCCAACAACTAGCTGAATCGTGTAAAAGACAATTTCAACAACTAGTCTACCTATTCATTGGCCTAATAAAATTACTTCGGAGCGGCGATTGTGAGAAAAAGACCGAGTACAAACTTTTACTGCAACCGCGATTTTTTCGGACTGCATCAGGAAAATTGGCTATTCAGGTTTTTTACAGCATTTACGTGAATTAATTGGTGTGTTTTGAAACGAATATACAGGGTGTCCTTAAAAATATTGCTGAACTTATGGAGAAGATGGACTGATGAATGACCATCTAGAAAAAAAATTACTTTGGTAAAAATGACACGGTTTTAGAGATATGATTTATTTAAGGTCATTCTTTTGTCTAGTACTAGATGGTTAACCATTAGTCTATATTCTCGTTAAATTTGGCCGGTCCCGTGAAGATCCCTGTATAAGTAATTAAAATAAAAATTCAAATACATTATATCGTAATGTATTTTCATTCAAATCGAAAACTCGATTTGGTTCTGACATATTTTTAATTTTATACCTCCTTAAAGTTACAGAAAAAGTATTTGAATATTGTAAAAGCTTTTAAAGCTCCAAGTTTAATGAAAAGAAAACCTTATTATAAACATTGTTTATATTCAAATGTGCCCACACAATATTTTTGTAGCTCCAAAACATAATTTTACTATCATCCATATTCAGTTATTCAAATACAAATAATAATTAATATTCAAACAGATTATTTTTGCAAATTGGGTTTCTTAATGTAGTTTAAAACTAGGTTTATTTTAATTTTCAACACAAATTATTGGCTGTTTAGTATTCAGTTATTTTACCGCACATTATTATGTACGTGTTACCTACATTTGTACGTCGATAGCCGAACGGTGAAGGTGTTGGACTGGCCGACTCGTGATCCGAGAAACGCGGGTTCGATCTCCGCCACCGCTGGACTATTGCAATATTGTGGTGAACCCACTCGTAACACAAGCATTATGTAGTTTATCACGAGGAGTATACAAAAGAATATTCAGATTAATAATAGTCCCGTTAACCCCTCGTGGTAAGCTAAATATGCTTGTGTCACGAGTGAGTTCATCACAAATTATATTCCAGTGGCGGCTGGGTACAAATCCTTGTTCCTCGACCATTGGGCTATTGCTTTAGTGTTCACACAAAGTTTTAAATAATCATCATCATCAGTTCGTTTAGTCCCCACCGTAGGAGCATCGGTCCTCTCTAATTTACTAAGGCTGAGTTGCACCACCTAACTTTGACCGTAACTTTAACGATACCGGTGTTTTTGTATGGAGTTCGACAGATTTTTGACGTTTGACTATGTTAGAGTAAGATAAGTAAGGTGCAACCCAGCCTAAAAGTAAATGGAGGAGTTGGTCTTATTTGGAAGTTTTATGTAATTATGTATTATCCACCCCAGTGCTCAGTATCCTGCGGCGAGGGTGTCCAAGTCCGAGGAGTGGAGTGCACTCCAGCCGGTGGTGGCTGCGACCCCGCCAACAGGCCTGAGATATCCCGCCCCTGCTCTACTGGCATCAGCTGTCCATCCTACAGGATAGAATCAGATGCTCCAGAGGTAAGTCTTGATCCTGGCTTGACCTGCCCTGTAAGACGGGAATAATTTCTTCATCCCAGTTATTACCATTAGAAAGCTCCATTCTACAGGATAAAATCTGAGCACCAGAGATAAGTGCCAGGTCTACGCAATTTCCTGGTATGAAACCCCATAGAAGAATCACCAACAGGTAAAACATATTCCGCACCTGGAATCAGCTGTCTATACAACGGGACTAGTCCCACCTCTCGTCCCCACCGCTGCAATTCCTGTGTAGCCAGGATCTACAGCTTGACCGCCTGAGATATCCCGCCCTTGCTCCACTGGCATCAACTGTCCATCCTACAGGATAGAGTCGGATGCTCCAGAGGTAAGTCATGATCCTGACTTGATCAAGACTGATTCCGTGGGTTCAAGCTATACCTGTCAGCACCACCATGACTGCGGAAGATGTCTTGAATAGCTGATTATCCAGAAGGATAGTGTCAGATGTTCCAGATGTAAGTCGCTGACATAGCCCGACGGATTAGCAAGCTGAAGTGGCAATGGGCAGGCCACATAGTACGCAGAACTGACGGCCGATGGGGCAGCAAGGTTCTGAAGTGGAAGCCACGTAATGGCAAGCGCGCCTGCTGTAGGACAGACTCGTTAGATAGGTTCGTTCGTTCGTTTCAGCCAAATGATGTCCACTGCTGGACAAAGGCCTCAATGATTTCCACAACGATCGGGTCTACGCTACCCGCATCCAGGTACTTCCCGCGGCCTTCACCCGTTCATCAGTCTACTATGAAATATGGGAATATATGGGTATAAGTATTGACGATGAAAAAGCCAAGATTAAAATACTGTTATTGAATTTATATTACATTCAAATTTTACAGCAGTTTTCCAGCGAAATAATTCAGGATTCGCTTTAAATTGACAATTTAATACAATGTTTTATTCATTTTGAAACAAAAGCCGCATTTAAGTGTTAACTTAATTTTAAAACATGATATTATTAAAACGTATTTTTTCATTGTTCGTCCTTAGCACGCGATATTAAAGTTTTTTTTCCGATCAATATAGGTCTTGAGAAATATTTTGTACTTAAGTTTTGCAAGGTTGAATAAACACCTCATTTCGTATTCGTTCGTTTTATTTTTGGGAGGACCTCAAGTAGGCGGTTCACTGTCGATAAGTCGTTTCGAGCCGGTTGACTTTGACGAATGGAAGGGGAAGTTGCCTTATCGCGGGCATGCCGCCGGACAGGCAGTTCGATTGGAGCATTCAAAGCAAGAAGTACTAACTTTAAGGTGTTATAATGTTGGAAATGTATAAATTAGTATCTTGAATAAATAAGTAATTGATCTAAAAGTAATTTTTCCTCATAGGGATAAACTCCCTTTCGTGTCAATAAACTGAATTTGTTGTCATTAGGAAAATGATTTTTCAAATGAAATAAATCAGATTTACGTAAACCACTTACTAATTTTTCTAAACTAGTTCCCAAAAATTTAAAAGAATCTACAAATCGGATTTGTCCAAATTTTCCATTTGGTAAGATAAGGAATTTAGTAAAAGATATATAATTTTCTTTGTTCTTAGGTATTACTTTAATAGGGCCTAAGCTGTCAGCTAATTCTTTAATAAACAAATGGCAATCGTAACCGGACAGGTTATGAAAAAATACCGGTACGAACTTAGGGACATTGTATCGCAAATTACAGTATTGATGTGCTGCGCCACGATATCTACCTGTAAGGTGACAATGATCTCGCACCTTGTCTCCGATCAGTAGGTTGTCGCAAATGTGACACACGTCGGCTTGTGAATGCTTTACCTTATCGTTTTCGGTAAAAATCATTCTAATTTCAACGTTCAAAATATTATAAATATTTGTAATGTCTTCATAAAGATTTTTTAAGAACTTTTCACTACAATCTGGACCGCGATATTGAACAAATTTGTTGAAAGTATTATCAAAGGAACAAATTATTTGATACGCAAAAGCTGCTGGGATATGTCGTTGACGCGGTGTTGTAAAACTAGCAAGAGGATCGGGCTCACATCCTTGATATCGTTCAAGGATGGTTTCAAAGTCTGCGTAAATAACGAAAGGAACATCTTGTTTCCTTTCAAAATTTTTGAACTGAAGATAACTACCTTTTTCGGGAAGTACTGTTGTAACACCACTACAGATATGTTTATCGATGCTATTCTGAGAAGTAAAAAATAATAAACAGTCTTCACAAAAATGTAACTTACCGTTACGCTTTGTGATTTGACTCCGAACCAAACGGGGCAAATTTTTTATTAAAACGAAATGCGAGTGTACATTGTCCTCAAAGAGAAGCAAGTTAATTCTTTTTCTAGAGTCTGATTTAAATTCAGATCTGTAAATAGGACCCACAACGCATTTATTGTTATTTAAGGAATAAACATTAACACTTAAAGTTGGATTATTTTTTTCAAAAAGCGCTATATCGTCAAAAGTTACAGGAAAAGACATACCTTCGATGTTGAGCACCCGTTTAAAATGTGGATATGACGAAGTTCGGTCACAGTTCTTTTGAGCAGGATAAATCGCAGCGACTATGCTCCACAAAAAACAGAATTTATCGTCATTTTTAATATTGACACACGCTTTTTTCTTCTTTATCACTGGTGGCAAATCAACATAAGTCGACCCAGATCCACATAATGGATCATATTTGTTAATATTTACTTCTAAATAAACATTACTCAGAAAAGTCCATCCACTATCACGTTCCTGAAACTCTTCAACCTTCTTTTTTATGATATTTAATACTGATGTAAATAAGCGCTTAAATGCAAAGTTACGATGAACAATAATATTTTTAGTTGCGAACGATTTTATTTGTTGTTCGTTATTTTTGAACAAAAGGAAATTACCAAAATATTCTAAATTTACTTTGATGCTTACATGTTTTTTAAGAGAACTCTGTAAAAGTTTGTAGAGTTTGAATTCTACGCTTTTTAAAAATAAGTCTGGAAAAGAATGTTCTGTTTCGGTCGTCACCGGTAACCTGTAGGAGGCTATGCGACCGCGGAACGCAGACGCGACTTCAACGACNAGAGACGGGGTGAGCACGTGACCGGAGCGATGCGCTTACGCAAAATTTTCTACAAAGTGGTCAGGCGGAAGAGTCCCCGATAGTACTTGCTAGTCCGTATTTACCCCGCGTCCGCAATTCCCCCATCCTCCCCTAATGAACTTTAATTAACCTCGGAACCTCTCTTCTAAAGATTGGAATTATTTTGTAGCTAATAAAACTTTACTTTATTGATTTTATGTAATGTACCTATTTACTAATGTATTATGTAACTTGCTGAAATATGTGAGTTCGTCGAAACGTGGTTTGGGCTAGGTACCGAGGTTAATTAAGTACTATAACACTAGGTTTCAATTCATTTATTATTAAGTACGTACGTAAATTATAAGTAAGTAAATTAGACTTAATTAATATGTATATTTTTATTTACAATTTAGTTAATTTTATTATTTATTTATTTATTTAAAGACTTTATTGCACACACAACAATGTTCTGTACAAAAAGGCGAGCTTAATGCCATACGTCATTCTCTACCAGCTGACCTTGAGCAAAACAGAGATATTTTGTAGGCGGTGCTAAAAAGCTACAAAAATGTACACAATATAATACATAAAATATTATAATATATATTTATACAAAATATACACATAAATACATACATATAATTTATATAAAATGGATGACGAGAGGTAAGGGGGGATAGGAGAGGATAAGGGAGAAAAGGAAAGAATAAGGGAGATCAAGACGACATGATGCGTTCAAGAAAATGTTTGCGCACAGAGTGTTTGAAAACAAACAATTACACAACAACAAATTANTTAACCAGTAGGGGAGGGTGGGGGAATTGCGGACGCTGAAGGAAAATAACGCAAAACATTCGTATTCTTAGTAATAATCAGTCTGTCTTTATTAATTATTAATCTTTAGTTATACATCTACAAAAACAGTTATACTTATTAAACGAGATCAATCATCAAAAGGAATATTTTTAGCAAAAACAAAACCTTGTCTGTCCGTAATTACCCGCAGCGCTCGGGGTAAATTCGGACTAACCCTGGGTTAATTACGGACAGCATGGGGTATTTACGGACTAAGTCCACATCACAGACAAAAATCACAAGTAAAGCCTTTAGAAGAACTTCCTGCAGTGCAGTTCTCATGTGCCCACTCGTTACACTTTAAACACCTAATCCAGTCTTCGGCGGGTGGATGATCGTACTTTTCCTGACAATAAATGCAAAAGTAATCAACATTTCCTTCATTTTCAAAATTATTTAGATTTCTTACACCCTTTGATCCTTTTCCTGTAGAAAGTTTTGATTTTTTTAGCTTATTAGATATAGTTTTATTTTCTTTTTCTTGAGCTTTTCTTTTCTTGTCTAATTTCTTTTGTTCCTTTTCTTCTAGATTCTTTTTTTCTGGTGAGCTGGTAAAAATGATGGAATGCTTTTTGTTTACTGCCCGTTTGCTACGATGAATTTGAAGAGTTGGGACCTTTATTAAATCACTAAGCGGTACTGATGAAGATTGACTTATTTGACTTGTCGTACTTTGGTTTAAATCAGCTTCACTTATAGCATTATTATCATTTATTTCATCTTGATCAGGTACATTGGGAACGGATTCATCGATAATGTTTATGTTGCTAGAGGACTGAGACTCTTGTTGAGGTCTTACTTCATTAGGAATGTTGTTATTATCTGCATCACTTATTTGAGATTCACTATGAAATTCTCTTTGGCTGTTATGATCAGGACCCACATGGCTCGAATCACATGGAGTTTCTGGTGTAATTATATTACCAAAACTTTCGAAAGTGCCCTTAAATTTATCTTGATCTACTGGATAAATTCCAGCACTCTTGAAGCCATTTATAGCTTTATCAATAGACGAACATCGGTTAAAAGCTTTTGTATAAAGACCAACAATATCAAATGCTGTAATTTTTGCTCCAGGATGGTTAA